GCACTTGTTTCTAGTAGCTTCTTGTTACTACTAGTAAGGCACTTGTTACTACTAGTAAGGCACTTGTTACTACTAGCGTGGCACTTGTTTCTAATAGCTTTTATGCTACAAGTGTCCTTTGGCTTTGTATCAAGGGATTGGGTCACAAGTCTTCTTGAGTGCGCTTGGAGTGGCCAAGCTACATGCGGCCACCACGGCGTATGTTTATGTCTCGATGGACTCATGAAATGTCACATGAGTTCTTCGATACGCTTACATGTTAAATGAACAGGTGCCTTACTAGTAGTAACAAGAAGCTACTAGAAACAAGTGTTAAATGAATTTCATGTTCGTTTTGCTTTACCTTTTGTCCGGGGAATGGTGTTCATTCCATGTTTCAAGTTCATTCAAGCGAAAGCCACGGCACAAACTACCGCACGTGTGCATCGCATGAGCCTACAATGAATTGCAGTGTTCGTCGTCAAACAAATGTGCTCTTTGTGTGGTGGATCTGATGCTTGCATGTGTGAAGAAGGCTCACGTTGTTCGCTCTTTGGATGGAGGCCATCGCTATAATTACAGTAGGTTCGAGGCCATTGCTTCTAGGTTGAAGAAGGTTCACGTTGTTTGAATATATCTGTGTGTTTGAGTGGGTCACTTCTGTGGAGTTCTCCTGTCAAACTGAAGTCACGGAGGGAGTTCAACTAAACATTGAACCCGAATCTTCTGGTCGGCTTCTGTTGCTCCACTTCAATGGAAAACCAGTATTGCTTGGAATCCGCCGCAGGGTCATGACAATACAAAACAACAAGCACAATGCAAGCTGCACCCCACTGCGGTGCTTTTGCTATGAACTTTCGACTTTTGGCACCGAAGATCAAGGAAGTCATGACTTTGCTGCGCGGCCTCGAAGGATTGGATCCGAACGCGTTGTGTAGCCATCGCCGGCACAATGGCCTCACCTAAGGCTTGCTGAACGCATTGCAGTTTTCATCTTGAAGGTGAAAGAACTAAATGCATCTAGAGATGCCTTGAATTATTTCTTTTCTGGTAGTGCTCCTTCAATAACTAGTATCATTCAGCCCTAGTAGTAGCACACTTCGGTGTGGTCCTTTAGCTGATAGCACACATTCTAGCACCTTTCTTGCGAATGTTGCAGGCCTTGGATGTTGGACGCAACGGCACCTCGAAACCTTTTTCGAAGCTTCATGATACGCCTGTCATCTGAGGATCTCTAGACTATGACTATATGTCACGCCTTCCTTCCTTCCTTCCTTCCTTCCTTCCTTCCTTCCTTCCTCGGTCTCCTTGCCACCTCACCTCGTCTCCGGTCTGCTTCCCTGTGATCCACATAAGACCCTTCCCATATGTCGCAACAACCCGAACACAGTTCGGCAGTAGGTCGGGCCGTTTGCCTGGAGAGGCTGCCGATACATATGCTAGTCCTTTTTGAAAGAATCTCTCCGATGGAAGTGTTTTGTGTTCACTTCTATTTAGACATATGTTTTCCATAGTTCTATACGTATCTATTTTTTCTTTTTGTCTTTCTCTCTCCCCCATCCCTCTCTCTCTTTCTTTCTGTGCTTTGCCTTTTTTCTTTAGAGCTGTCTTTCAATTTTTGTTTCTCGGCCTATTCTTTTCGATCTTTAAACTAAAGCTTTATGCATTTATCTTCTTCTATACGCCTTGAGAGTTTAGACCTTTGTCAAATATATTTGTTTCTTTCGTTGGACCGTTAAGCATCTTTTTCTCTCTCGGAGCATGGAGGCCTTCAATGCGTCAGCTCACAAGACTTGGCTGGATTCCACACTTGTCCAAGCTTGCTCGATTAGTCCAGACTCGGCTGCTGGCCATCTCTTTCATCCGCTTTCCTGTGTTTCGTGGGCGATTCAGCACAATGAATTCGTGTCAAGTGCTTCTTTCAATCTGGTCCTCTCGGAAGCTCGCTGGCCTCGATACACCAAGGTCTCTTCACATAGACTTGCTTGAACTCCTAAATCTGCCAACTAGTCTCGAGCATGTGAAGAGCTTGGGCAATGACTACCGCTTCTGCTTCTGCTAGCTCTACCTGCCAAGCAGCAGTTCCTTAATCTGAATGAAGGGGCAAGCCGGGCATGGAAACTAGTAGCAAGAAGTAACTAGGTTGGAGGCCACTACTACGGTATCGTAGTAGCAAGAAGCTACTAGTTCTTTTTAACGAAAGGCACGTTCTCCGAGACCATCTCTCGGGAGTACAGGGGCTTACGTGCCCTGCCTCGAGACGGCCCCAGCTATGTACAATCGATCTGACGATGTTTTCAGATCTCTTCGGCTAACCACTTTCTGCAGGACCTTCCCTGAGCTCTTTCTCGATTTCAGCTAGCAAATCCTTCTTCTTTTGAAGCCTTGACTTCCGAGTGCCTCAACAAGGAAAAGTAAGTAAGTTCTATCCCACAAGGAACAAGTATGGTTGCAATGGGCCCCTGCCTTCCCCATCTACTTCCAAATAGCCAATGTGGTCATCAACAATCTCACAACTCTCCTGAATGAGACTCACAGTGGCCAGTGAAGTCCACCAGTTGCACTCTACCAGTCTAAGCAGCCACTCCAAGAATGTTTTACAAGGAGAAGGGGCTAGTCAGTGTCTAGAGAATTTCTAACGCTGCTGTACTTCCGCCCCGTCGTTTGTTTCCAATGGACTGTCGGGCGCTTGCACACCGGTACAGCCGCAGGTCAGTGACCGTGTACAGATCTAATGAGACCCTCAGGAAGGGACCCCTTTGTTTCACCCCGACTCACTTCTACGACATTGCCTCTTAAAGTGATGATCAGTGAGTTGGTTGTGACTATTGGCAACAATTCCTAGCCCTCCTTGGGTTGCAGCCTGTCACGTGTGCGGCATCAGTTGGCCAAGGCACTTCGGGTTGGAAGGCAGCCAATTCGTCTGCATGTTTCAGCTTTAGTTCATCCTCCATGGCCTTGTACTTTTCATCCAAATCTCGCTTTTCTTGTCGTGCCTCAATTTTCTTGTGCTCGCGCTTGGCCTTCGCAAAGCTCATCAACCTCCCTGTGGGCGAGTTCGCACAAGTTTCACCCGACAGGGCCAAAGTGTTGTCATGTAACATCATGTAACAAAAATTGCTAGTCCTAGCAGTGCCGTGAAAAGGGCACTTACTGATTAAAGGCATCCAGCTCTGAGCATCCGAGAAGTAACATTGTGAAAACAATGTGCCTGACGCACAAACAAAAACACATCGAGGCACATAGTAAACAACAGTATTGATCAGATTTGGCAGCATACACGCGATTGGTCATTATGACCCGCAACTCTAATTACAGAACTTGAAAGAAGGATGCAATGTCGTCATGAGTGGCCGAATACACCGTATGACTTGTGATCCGAAGTTGGAGCTCGGTGAACAAATGCCGCCGAGTGGCCTGCTTCGATCTTTTTTTTTGTTCCTGCAAGGCCTTCAAAAGGCAAAGTGGGTTTCACTCACACGCCTTGGAGCTACTAGTAGCAAGGATGCTACAAGGTGGAGGCCATCCCCACACACTCGGCCACAAGGGGATCAAATTGCTAAAAAAAACGACAGGGTCAGGCCTGCTCCACAAGCACAGGCCCGTGGTTAGTGGGGGACCGAAGATGCCATTCGAAAGCGCCAATTTTTATTGTTTGATTGTTTCCAGCAATCTCTTTTCTTACTTTTTTTTCCACACCTGTCAGGTGAGGGTTGTTAGATTTTATGTCAGCTGCCTCGCGTCTCCCTTCCTCTCGTCGCCTCAAACCGCCAGGCCCCGTTATGTGTTTGTGGTTGTGCGTTGTGGTTGAGGTCCGGCGGGGAACACTGCTATCGGGAGCTGGCGGTGTGAGGTCCGGCGGGGAACACCGCCGTCCACAAACACACAATCACAAACACGCAGCCAGAAACACGACCGCAAACACATAACCACAAGCATAACCACAAACGCACAACCACAAACACACAACCACAGCACACAACCTTGGTTACTCACTGTTACAGGTCATAGGACAAACCCAGTGCTAATAGGACAGGCCCAGCCCATATTCAATGTTTTGGAGTCTGCACACAACCACATAACTACAAACGCACATACAAGGACACACTCACAAACAAACAGCCACAAAGACACATCCACAACACACACAAAACACAACCACAGCGCACAACCACAACGCACAACCACAAAGACACAACCACAGCACACACAACCACAACACACAACACCAAACACACCAACAAAGAGACAGCCACAAACACAGAACCACAAGGACAAATCCGCAGCACACAACCACAACGCACCCTCACAAAGACACAGCCACAGCACACAACCACAAACACAACTATAAAAACACAATCCCAAACACACAGCCACAAAGACACATTCACAGCACCCAGCCACAACGCACAACACCACTGCACACAACCACAGCACACAGCCACAAACAAATAGCCACAAACACAACTACAAAGACACAACCACAAAGACACAACCACAGCACACAACCACAACACACATCCACAACACACAACCACAACACACAACACCACTGCACAGAACCGTAGCACACAACCACAAAAACAACAAGAAAAACAGAAGAGGACATGGAATATATGGCTGTAGACTGTTTGAGTGACCTGTGGCCAGTGGATTTGTTGGCGCTCTGCAGCCGGAGCGCGCTGGCTCACCGCATGAGTTGAGGTAGCGCATGCCTGTAACCGAAGCAACCTTTCTTTTGTTCATACTCGCACCTTCTGCATTGCGCGTTGCCACAACAACAATGCATTACACTTGGGACATGTGGATGCGTTGCTTTTGCTGCGGTGTTGTTTCGGCCAGTTCGCTTCTGTCAACAACTGAGGGGAAAAGTAAAGGTAGCAAAGGTCATGGGCCATGAGGCCCGCCAGAGTTGGCCGCCAGAGAAGTTATAGACCGACATGTTCCGCTCTTGTGTGCAAGGGCTTTCTATGAGCTTGTTGGCCGCGGTGTGTGTGCTGGGTTGGTCCACATCGACACATCCACAGCACACAGCCACAACGCACAACCACAGCACACAGCCACAACACACACACAAACACAACGCACAAACACAGCACACAGCCACAAGCACATAACCACAAACACAAACACACACTCACAGCCACTAAAACACACACACACAATCACAAACATGTCAGACAATATGGCAAGTAGAAGTTTAGAATATATATTACCAGATAGAATGTCACAATATATGTCAAAGAAAATGTTTCTGTTGTGTGCCCTGTACACCTCTTCTTCCCTTGCCTTTACGAGACCAAACACCTGACAGGCGGCACGCCGCTGTCTTGCAAGAATGTCAGTCACATCTGACAAGCAGCAAAATGTGCCGGAAAGAATGCTGAAATAATGTCTCAATACATGCCAGAAAATTTGTCAGATTGAAGTGTCATGGTGGGGATCACTCGAAGTGAAGTACTTTTTTAAAACATGTATGTTTCGTTTTATAAAACGGTTCAGTACCCCCCAACCCCGATCAACCCCCCTGCCAAAAAATGCGCCTTAATCTCGCGCTTGTGCCGCTGCAGAATCTTCCCCCGGCCCGGCCGTGCATCTTCGTCGCTCTCCGATTGCATTTCCATTGCGCCACACGTCAGCTTTGGAAACGATTGAAAACACCTGAGGCTGAGATATGTCAGAAAGGCATCCTGTTCGGTAGTACAAGGTAGTTCAGCCAAAGTCCCTGCAGGGAATCGAGTTTGGGAATCTTTTTGCAAAAACATTATTAACTATCAAATTCCTTCAGGCATCCAAGTGACACAACTCTGGATAGTGTATGATCTAATTGTGTGGACAACCAAGAATATGATCATCCAAACATGTCTAAAGCGAGCCAAACATGTCCAAACATGCAACATTCCCTTATGAGTTTAGTCGCCTCCAAACACGGCTCACCACAGCAAACTGTCATTTGTTTTTCCCACCACATCGAACTAGACAAAAAATACACCAATAGTGATGGCCTCCACCCTATATAAACACGCTCTCTCTCCATATAGGACGCTACTAGGAGCAAAGGGCATCGCTACTAGGAACAAGGACGCTACTAGGAGCTTTTTCTTCAGCCCTTTCACCTTCCGATGCATCACGGGGTCATAGCCTGACCTCACAGGCCCTCTCTTGGGCTAACTCAGGGCTTCTGTCACTGGCATTTGCCGCCACAAGAGGCAGCTGGCTGAACAAAATGCCAGGTGATTCGGTGATTTACACTGACTCACGACAATGATTCATGGATTCTGTCCTTGGGTGCACTTTACCCACTCAATGGAGCAACCCCACTGCAAAACAGTTCTCAAAACACGGATAGGGAATGAGGATAGGAAATCACACTTCCCACAAACCCTATGCTTTCCGTGAATTTATTGATTGGAGCTGACTCCAGAGAGAGGATCATTCGACTAGTTGACTAGATCGGTCAACGGCAATCACAGGCTGCCAGTTGAGCTAACTAAGAGTTGCGACACCAAAGGCCCATGTAAAGCCTTTGTCTCCAAAGGGAGCAGTATGAAACTGCGATTGAAATGACATACGTTATTTGACCATTGAAACCGCAAACCAATGCCGAATCCTCCTGCAGGGTGATTCCGATCCTTTGTGTCAGGGTTTCAAGGTCAGCTGTGCCGTCAGCTGCTGAGCATTTCTCAGCTTGCTTCTGGCCTAAAGCAGCTCCCTCACATCACGCCACACTGTCCCTGCCTTGGGCCATCTAGAAGGAACTTACAAAAACTGCACATGTTCTGCTAGGTCCCATCAGGAATATCGCCATAACCTCGTAACTCTCCCCTGCTTTCCACCAACAAAACCTTCAGAAAATCTGCACCAGTGCTTCTACTGACTAACATCTGCATTGCCTATAGATTGTACAGACTCAATACCACTCAATACTCTCAACAAGCCAAGCTGCGGTAGAGGCTCGCCCTGTGGTAGAGTTTCCTCTGGTTCCTCTGGTTTCAGCTTCCACACTTCCAGAACATGTGGTGACGCATCGACATGCGATGCTGCTTCAGCTTCCCTCTCATCAAACATGTTGAAGACCTGGTGGACTTGGGCTCTTTGAGGGAAAGGCCTGGGTGTCTTTTTCTCGTTCTCCTTGTTCGGCTCCTCACTTTTGGACGGGCATCTCTTTGGCACCTAGGAAGGCATTGCGATTCGAGCCCCTAGTAGCGTCCTTGCTCCTAGTAGCGATGCCCTTTGCTCTCCGTAGTAAGGCCAGGAGCCCCAAGTAGCGTCCTTGCTCCTAGTAGCGATGCCCTTAGAAAAGGACATGATTTCTACATCCAAATGATCTGAGAGACCGTGGACGGTCGCTTTGTGACCTTGTTTGCAAATGGCCGCCGTGGTTCTTCGGACTTCGCCACAGTTGCGGCAGTTGTGCACTCTGCAGTGAGCTCTTCGCGATTGCCCTCGCTCGGTCGAAGCGGCATACTTTTCAGAATCCTAAGTCGATGTGAGTGCAGTACTAGTAGCTACTCTAGTAGCTACTCTAGTAGCTTCTTCTTACTAGCGATGGCCTCCAACCTGCTTGCGATGGCCTCCACCTAGTAGCTTCTAGCTACTAGCAGCTTGGTGGAGGCAAAAGAGAGACCACACACACAGAGATAGACCACCAAAACAGCAAACAATGCTCACACTCTGTCAGGCGTCTGTACATGTTTCGCCTGTGGAGAGTTGTCCTTCAAAAGACCTGGCAGGGGCATTGAGGGCATTGAGGGTTGATGGTTGGTGAATCAGTGAAACCCTTAAAAATCACTATGGCAACAATCTGCCATGAAACAACTCCATCTCGCTGTTACGACACTGCCATGTTCAACACTGCTTCCGTCCTTTCTCCTCCGGCTCACTGGACTCGTCACTTGGGCCCCGGTCGCCACTTCTCGCTTCACTTCTCGCTTCCGCTTCAGGTGACGTGTCGTGCAACTTGTTGTGCGTGTCGTCTCCAGAGATGCGACACGTCACTTCATCTTGGTCACGCTCAAGTGAAACTGGGGAGGCAACCTCGGAGTTATCCAAAAATCTCCCGGACACACAGTACACACAGTGAAGCACACCACAATACTCAAAAAGGTTACGCTTCCCCAAGAATATCCAAAAGAACTTCTTCAAGGAAGCTCCCCTTCGCTCAGGTGCGGAAAGCTTCCTTAAAGAAGCCTGAGCCGAGACTGCGTCCAAGCCTAGTAGCTTCGGTCTCCTACTGAATCCACTTACACCCCCTTACTGCCAAATCCCCGGGGGTAGAAATAAAACGATATTTAACAACCTAAGGCCTAAGGCGGCCTAAGGTCTCAACAAACCGCAGCTCAGCTTCAGATGCCGATTCCTTTGCCGATTCAGCCTTTCCTTCATCCTTTTTCCAAAGCATAGTGTCCGGCAGTTCTTCCAACGATGGTGCTTTAGAAAGCCATGCCGCTGGTGAACTCAAATTCTCATCTTGCCAATGAGACCTGGGTAAAAGAAGCAGCGTCAGTTCGCCATCGAACTCAAAACACATGCAGTATACATCGCCAAGCAACTGTACACATTTGGCTTGAGGAGAGCCATTGAAAAGACCTAGCAGGGCAAAAAGATGTGTGTCTATTTGATTTGTCGCGCATCGTTTCATCGAACGATGGCAATATCGATGGTTTTGGTTCCTCAAATGTTTCACGTTTCACGGCAGACTTCCTGGCTCGTTGGGATCTGGTTCTCCAGCAGTCGCAGGAACCTTAGCACAGGTCTAAACTCAAGATTGACGGCGTCACTGTTGGTGTTAAGGCCACGAGCTTCACACAAAAGGCGACAAAGGACAAACAAAAACAACATGGGTAATCTGATAATCTTTTTGCAAGAACCTGTGCTATCCTTTAAGTTCAGTTCTTGTAACTAGCGTGTTTGTTTTTTCCTTTCTTCCGCCTTTTTCTTTTTTCTTAGAGCTTTAGTGTTCTTGTGGTGAAGGTCCAACGAAACAAAACCCAGACCTCCAAGGACTCAGTGTCATCGGACGCAGCCCCGGCAGAGGTCTCTGCGCTCAAGAGATGGGCATCGGACGGAGCAGCTGGTGTGGACCAATAGAACCTGTGCAAATCTTAGCAACAGCTCTCCACGCAGAAAGTGGCGCGTTGCAAGGGCCCGCTAAACGGGACATGTGACATGGATATTAAACTGAAATGAAGCAGAACGACAAGGTTCACGGATGCCCTTGTTACATCTTGTTACTAGTAGCGATGCCCTTGAGCAACGCATGCCTGGCTCCAGGTCGAAATTCTGGTGCTTCGATCCGCATCGCCCAAGCTTCCTCATCCTCGCCGTCCTTGCGCAAAGAACGCAGCAAATCGGCGCCAAGGGTCTGACCCACCTGCCGGAGCGGACCGCAAAGCAACCGAAATAAATGTAGGAACAAGTGCCACGCTACTAGGAACAAGTGCCTTACTAGTAGTAACAAGAAGCTACTAGAAGCTTTTAATTTGAATCAAATTAAAATTACAAGAAGGCTACTAGGACCCACCTGCCGGAGCGGACCGCAGGTAGCAACCGAAATAAATGTAAGAGAGTAGCAAGAACGATAGGAACGATACACCCTCTTCTCGTAAGGAGTAGCGATGGCAGCCAAATGTAGGACCGCAAAGAGACCTTTCCTGTAAATGAAAGCTGAGCAAGCAGGTCAACCAAAGTTACCACACACTCACCAGAATCCCACTGAATATGTTCAGCTGCAAGATCACTGGTTCCTTATATAAGGCTTTGATCAAAGGTGGGAGAAAAATAGAAAACGCATATTCTTTGGCACGTTGGTAACACTGTCGTAAGTAAAACGTACCCCACCGACCGAGTCCCAGCCTCTTGACTCAGAGTTTGGCTTTCTGTCGATCTCTGAGCAGCGCTGCGGCCCATGCCTCTTTCAAAGAGCAGTGCAAGTAAGGATAAAAAGCACAGAAACAAAGCGCAAGCAAGTGCATAGTCCCTAAAGTGTTCATGTTGTTCAAAACTCTGCCTGCACTGAAGGTGCTGAGGGCGTATTGTTGGGGTGCGAACACTGAGCCCCTAGAGCGTTAGCCCCGGTTTTCTTCCCCTTTGGAACGGAAGACCTTATTGCAAGCCGACGGGGCGGGGCCATTTTGGACACATGACGGCACTGGCAAATCAAACGCTCACATAAAGCAAGGGGTCAATGGGCCAAAAAAGTGTTTGGTATTTAGTGAATCTACAGTAGTGGCTGTGCTTGGAACCGGCTGATCCTCAATAGACAGCACTGACCGACCATCTCACACCAGCTACATGAATAGATGTCTCTACATTGACCGCGGCTGGTGCACATCGATGCGCAAAATGAAGTGCGTCTTGTTAAAAGAAGCGTTCTTGGAAGGACGCCGGGAGCTGGCGATCTCAGTGCTATTAAAACTCGGACAAATGCTCCCAAATGCTCTGTGACTCTTCATATTCGCCGCAATCGCTGCACGTGCCTGCGCCGATAAGGACCTTCAATCCTTCTGACAGAGCAGCGGGGTCTCCGCTTTTGGCAGGGATATCGATGGTGTCCTTCACCCAAGATCCTTTCTCCCAATCGAAACGCAATATCTGCGCCGTCTCTGAGCCATCGGGGCGTCGCACGATTGCGGAGCCCATGGCGCTTGAGGAAGAGCCTTGGATCGGCAACTGTCACAAAGAGAAAATAAAGGGCCTCCAAATATGAATGAGTTTCCAGCAAGTGACTTCTTGACGGGATTGCTACCAAAGACTAGGGAATTACTGTGGGGGTTCTTCAACATTCATACATCTAGGCCCTGCCTACCTCAGCTTTTCAGAAAATAAGATGTGCTGTATAAGAACTCGTTGTGTGAAAGGTGATGTGCACAGCCCTTACATTGCACGTGTCATGCCATAAGAGGTAGTCTGGAAGTGACTATGCTCGGTGGTATGGGTGGGCCAAGGTTCATGAAACACAGCTTGAATTCGAAAAGGAATGCGAATAGTTCTGGAATGCAATTCGAAAAGACTTTACGACTCCAACCTAAGAGCATTTTTTGAAACCCGCTCCCCCGCCTCCCTACTTGATTAAGTAGGCGCCTACTTAATGAAGTGAGAGTTTAAGTAGCTACTATCGACAGGACGCAGGATAGCTCACGTTTCTTCAAGAAAAAAACTTCCTTGAAGAAGCGCTCGCACTAATGATTTGGTTCCTA